TAGTCTCACCACAGAAGGTTATGAAAATCGAAGAACAGGGAACGAGAACAGAGAGTGATGGTTGTGGAAACGAAAGAACAATGAAGTCTTAGACGATTGACTGACATTTTGCAAATGAATTATTAACTGTACGGTTCTCAGATCTTATTAAGAGATTCTGTAATGGTGTGTTCAAATACTTACAATCGTCCACACTTGTTTGTTCTCGTTCATTACAATTTTAATGTTAATCATTATGAAATTTATCATCGAACTATTTTTTATGAAATAGATGTAATGACTTAACAACTAGAAAATCAATATTGAGACCTTTTCATTACCACTTGTTAGTGGCGTGTTTTCAAATCTATTATTATGATTTATACAATATCATATGAGATCAACAGATATTAATGGCATGGATAATTGAAAAAAGGATATTAGTGAAAATCTTTGAAGTCACCTTTAATTTTCGTTTATTTGTTTTTCACTGACTGAAATCATGAGTCAATTGAAGCTAGACCACCATGGAAAAGTGAAAGCACTAGACGGCCGTTTCGTCCTAGTATGGGACTCCTCAGCAGTGCACATCCTGGACCCCACACCCCGCGAGATTCGAACCCTTGACTTAACAGTCTCGGGCCAGGCGATTAACCAACTAGACCACTGAGCCGGCATTCAACGGTGTTATTGTCTTATTTCAACAAATCCACGAAGTCGAGCCACCTTCTATCACTGTCTTCAGTGTGTTACCATGTCATAACAAACCTGGTTGAACTCCACTGGTGACGGCTTCTCACTAGAACTCCAGGAGTATCTCTTGGAGTCAGTCACTAATGAGCAGATGAAACGGCCTTCCAGTGCTTCCAGGTTTTCCATGGTGGTCTAGCTTCAATTGACTCATGATTTCAGTCAGTGAAAATTTCTAAAACCTCCTCAAAACCCCTTCTTATTTGTTTTTGTTAATAAAAATTGATGTAATTTATCACTTCTAACAAAAGAATTAAACCGATTCACTTATAAGTTCTAATATCTACTTTAAAACAATAATCAGGTTTCTTTCTGGTGGATAACACAAACATACATTGACATTTCATTGAAAGACTTTTGAATAATTAAAGAAAGACTAGACAGTTATTTCATTCAAAATGTGATGATGATGCTAACTTCTGATGATTTCAAAGCTATTATTACTTATTTACGTCTGTTACCACACTCATGGAGGCGTATAGGCTGACTATCATCATTCTCTATACAACTCTTTGTTAAGTAATCCTTTCTATTTGTTTGTAGTTATTATTCATCCTTTTTTTATATCTGCTTCCAATTCCCAACGTAGTGTATTCTTTGGTCTTGCTCTTTTCAAATGACATGAATTAATTGTCATATGGTTAGGAAAATGAATTTGAGATCATGAGAGATTATCAAATAATCGCTTCAATGAAATATTTTATTATAGTTTTTATTGCTTAATGTTGCACTTTAGGTAAAGCATGTGTTTGTGATCACTGAAAATCGATTACTGATTACGTAACGTATGTTCATTCCTTATTGTGACAAAGAGGGACTTGGACTAAATTGTCAACTGGACAATAAACTGTAGTAGTTTCTATGCATTAAAATATATACTATTCATTAAGTCAATAAAGAATTTGAGATGTGATAACAATGTTCGCCAGTTCATTGTCAATTCAATGAGGGAATGTTTGCAAGATGGGAATGAAATGGACTTTAGTGAAATAAATACAAAGAAGATAGTTCAAAAAGTGACGAATATAGAATCAAATTAAAGCTGAAAAATCACAGGGACTTTTCAAATCCGAATACAGTTATGACAATGTAATTGTTTCCTTTTTATCTGTTTGTCAATCTTCAATAACCGACTATGATTATTGTATAGGGTTGAACTGTCAACGATACACTTGTAAACATGAATAAGTTGAGGAATTAGTGATTTCATGAAGTGATACTATGAATTTTGGTTAGAATACTTCAAGCTCACTCCTAAGTTAATCATTATAACAGTTTATAGAAAGGGGTTGTTAATCATAGGTAACACATTTCTCAAGCAAGTTAGTCAATGAAATTTTACGATTGATTCAATATTTTCTACTTAATATGTTATGCATAACTAAATCATTGTTCGTTCACTTGGTCATTACATCATCTCAGATCAGTGTTATAAATACACAGAGAATCCAACATTTTTCAACCTAAGCGTTTAGGTTAACTTTGGTCGTCAGTGTCATTTTATTAAACTAATCTGTTTACATCGTTTTATTGAATAATTTTAGATCGTGGATGCACAATGCTGAGGAGTCCCGTGCTAGGACGAAACGGTCTTCCAGTGATTCCAGACTTTCAATGGTGGTATAGTTTCAATTGATTTATAAATTCAACTATTAAATTACTAAAATTCCCCCAAAACCCGTTTCTGACAATAATCACCATGCCCTCAATAATGACTGGCTCCAAGATGAATTTCCTGGAGTTCTAGTGAGAAGCCGTGACCAGTGGAGTTTAACCGGGTCTGTTATGACATAATAACACACTGAAGACAATGGTAGAAGGTGGCTAAATGTTGTCGATCGGTTGAAGTTAGACATTAATACCGTTAGATGCCAGCCGACCCAATAGTCTATAGGTCAGACGTTCGTGCGCGTAATCGATAGTTCGTGAAGTCGAATCCCATAAGTGGAATCGTGGATGTGCACTGCTGAGAAGTCCCATACTAGAGAGAAAAGCCTATCCAAATTTTCCATGATGGTCTAGCTTCAATTGGCTCATGAATTAAATTGATGAAAATCACTACAATCTTCACGAAACCCCCTTCTTATAATTTTACATGAATTGAAATTTGATATATATATTAGATAGATATCCATATTTTTAGAGAATGATCAATGTTTATTTAAATAAACTGTAGTTCTAATCTAACTCCATCAACTGATCGTTGTTGTTTTCTTTGCACAAATATAAGTATGTACAATTATCTATCCATCTATCCATCTATCTATCTATCTATCTATCTATCTATCTATCTATCTATCTATCTATCTATCTATCTATCTATCTATCTATCTATCTATCTATCTATCTATCTATCTATCTATCTATCTATCTATCTATCTATCTATCTATCTATCTATCTATCTATCTATCTATCTATCTATCTATCTATCTATCTATCTATCTATCTATCTATCTATCTATCTATCTATCTATCTATCTATCTATCTATCTATCTATCTATCTATCTATCTATCTATCTATCTATCTATCTATCTATCTATCTATCTATCTATCTATCTATCTATCTATCTATCTATCTATCTATCTATCTATCTATCTATCTATCTATCTATCTATCTATCTATCTATCTATCTATCTATCTATCTATCTATCTATCTATCTATCTATCTATCTATCTATCTATCTATCTATCTATCTATCTATCTATCTATCTATCTATCTATCTATCTATCTATCTATCTATCTATCTATCTATCTATCTATCTATCTATCTATCTATCTATCTATCTATCTATCTATCTATCTATCTATCTATCTATCTATCTATCTATCTATCTATCTATCTATCTATCTATCTATCTATCTATCTATCTATCTATCTATCTATCTATCTATCTATCTATCTATCTATCTATCTATCTATCTATCTATCTATCTATCTATCTATCTATCTATCTATCTATCTATCTATCTATCTATCTATCTATCTATCTATCTATCTATCTATCTATCTATCTATCTATCTATCTATCTATCTATCTATCTATCTATCTATCTATCTATCTATCTATCTATCTATCTATCTATCTATTTATCTATCTATCTATCTATCTATCTATCTATCTATTTATCTATATCTATGTTAATGTTATGTGGTCAAGAATCGAAGTATATTTATTCATTGACGACAATAAATTATCATAAATAAAAGGCACTAACTAATTGTATTTTGGTGAAAAATGGAAAAAAACTAGTTGATATCAGTTTGTTTTGTTGTTATGTGATGCAAAAATTATTCTTTAATTGATTGGTTTACAATTTGTGAGGGAGTCAAATTGTATGATGACCGTTGACAGGATACTACCATCATCAACGTATTGTGGGAGAGAAAAAACCATCTTCCATTTGTAGACGATATTAAGAAAAGATGGTGGAGGTAGATAAGACATACATTGAGAAAATCATGAAACTTCATCATGAAGAAAGCACTAACTTGGAATCGTGAAGAGAAACAAAGAAGTGGAAGATCAAAGAACACACTATGTCGGGAATTGATAGTAGAAATAAAATGAATGAATAACAACTAGAAACAACCGTGAAAGATAATCCAGGATAGAGTTGAATGTAGAATATTGATGGGTTGCCTAGATTTATTTAAATAGATTGTTGTTCTAATCTAACTCCATCAACTGATCACTGTTGTTTTCTTTTCAGAAAATCAAGTATATATACACATATCTATCTGTCTATCTATATTAGTATTGTATAAACAAGAATGAAAGTATATTTATTCATTGACGACAATAGATTATCATCAATAGAAGGTACTAACTCAATGTACTTTAGTGGAAAATTTAAAAAAAAACAAACAAAGCAGTTGATGTCAAGTTTCTGTTGCTATGTCATATAAAAATTATTCTCTAATTGATTGGTTTACAATATGAAAAGGAGTCATATTATATGAAAATGACAAACAAACAAACAAACAGACAACAATAAAAAAAGACGAAATAAAGAAGGAAGAAGCGAATAAGTAGTATAACACTATCATAAAATAAACAGAAAAAAGAAGAAAATTATTCTTTCATCGAATTCTTTGTTTTTTCTTTCTTCTTCACTATTTTTTTCTCTAATCAACTTTGTAAAAGAAAAAAAAGGAAAAAAGAAAGAAGAGAAAAAACAAAAAAAGAAGAAGAAAAAAGCAATTTACATTGATTTACAAATGGATTATCTTTTATAAAATTTTATTTTCATTTCATTATTCAATATGATTAGTGATGATCATCGATATGATAATCAAACAATCATTAAATCTAATAAAATTGAATTAGATCATTTTAATGAAATATGCTTAAAAGAAAATAATCGGTAAGTAATTATTGATTGATTGATTGATTGATTTGGATTATACTATGTTATTTAGTTGATTATTAAATTAGATTACTTACTTATCTATGCCAGTTACTCCTCGTGGAGGAGCATAGGCCAGCCAACAGCATTTTTCATCTAACTCTTTCCTAGATAATCCGTTCCAGTTGTTTCTAGTTGTTATTCATCCTTTTGTTGTCTGCTTCAAATCTGTGACTTACCATGTTATTCATGTTTCTTTTCTTGTGTTTCTCTTCAGCCTCATAATGCAGTTTAATGATTTCTGTAATGTATGTCCTATTCACTTTCAACGTCGTTTCTTAATTTTTTCTTCAGTTAGAAGTTGGTTTGTACTCTTTCACAGTAGGTTGATATTGATGGTATCTGGCCAAAGCATATTGAGTATCTTGCGTAAACAACTGTTTATAACCATTAACCTATTTTAGAATATATTTCGATCTACTGTATTTTAATGTAGCTTTATTGATAATCATCAGTTCTTCATAAGAAGATAATAAATTCGAGTTTCTTCTGTCTTTGTTGATCATTTCCACTTATCATAGCAGTTTAAGTCCGTATTAATGTACTGTAAACATTTACATTAATCATTATAAGCAAAGATGGATAGTGGTTAGCAGTGGAATCCGTATTAATGTACTGTAAACATTTACATTAATCATTATAAGCAAAGATGGATAGTGGTTAGCAGTGGAATCCAGTTTGACACGCGTTTCGTCCTATTTGGGACTCGTCAGCTGGATGTATCCACATGTTGGGGTTGATGTTCACTCTTAAACTCGAACCCAGTATCATTCACTTCAAACGTCAACGCTTAATCCAATTAGCTACTGAGTCATGATAGTCGCTTGCTTTTTCGATGCGATGAAGTTTAAATTCACTTGGTATTGTTAACTTGAATCTTCCCATCGAAACAATACGCATGGTATGCACATATGCCAATAACAGACTGGTCAATTGCAATCCTAAACATCAATGGGAAGATTCAAGTGAAACAATACCAAGTGAATTTACACTAACCATTTACTGGATGCAAAACATTATCATGATTTAAATAAAAAAATACAAAACATTGTTACTGAGGTGAAATAAGAAGACGGCATATCAACATCCCATTGACATAAAGAATTTTTATATACCTGTTGAATATTCTGTACCCGGTAACTAGAGGCTTTCGTTTACATAAACTCAAAAGTTCATTTGATGCTTTAGAGTAGATTATTCCTTGTGTCTTTGTTTATTATAGAACCTTCAATCATTAGAGTCGTTTATTTATACTTGATCATTTTAATCTTAACAAATGGTTCATATAATGATTAGTTGTATTGCGATTAAAGTTAGCTTTCAGTTTAATTGTATGGTTTGCTTTGATTAAATTTATCTAATTTGATTATTTGTCAATCGTAGACAATCCATGTAAACTACTTTGGACTGTTTCGTACAATTATGGATTGTGTTTTTATTTACATAACTTAATAAGTCTTCAAATGAAATGCTTGATAATGAATTCTTGAGAGCTTCCTTGAACCCTGAATGGTAGGGGAAAGTGACGATGTAAGAGAAGAAGCTTCTCATCGACGTTCATTTATGTATAGAAAACAAGGGTACTTGTAAGTTCGTTGGTAACGTTTGACCTGCAGAAACTTGTTGAAGTATAGTACACTTAGTAACAAGGTAAGTAATCGTTTAATCAGAGTCTAGCATATAATTCAAAAATTTTCGAGACATTCGTACTTCTTGTAGTGATTAGACGAAGTAATCTCAATTTCTTTTTGGCTTCTGAAGAACTTATCGAGGAATACTCAAAAGACCATAATATATTTTTATTTGCATGTTTATGGCTTGACCTATTTTGAGTGATGATTGAGAAACACTCTCTTGTGTTTCATTTGAAGTAAATCTCATTTAATTGGATTTAAGCTCTTAATCTTCAGTGCGTCGTTCCTACTTAATCAGAACATAATCAAGTGTATTTAACAATAACATTTAACAGTTTAGGGTTGTGAAGACTGTTGAGTTTTTGATTGAGATTATGAATCGACGAATGTTGGACCACCATTGAAAACCTAGAAGTACTGAACAGCCGTTTTGCTCTAGTGAGAAGCCTTGGCCAGTGGAGCTAATCCGTGTCAGGTAGAAGCAGGTATCTACTCAAAAAATGGAAGATGATCCTGTGATTTCGTGAATTGGTTGGAGTTAAACATTAAAACCGTTGGATGCCAGCTCAGTGGTCTAGAAGTTAAGCATTCACTGGCGAGACAGGAGGTCCTAGGTTGATATAGATGTATAATATTAAGTAGGTTTCATGAGTAGAAGTATTTTGTAAGGCATAGACTCTTAGTAAATCCCTAACGCAATGATATATTCGACTGTAAGTATTTCTTTGAAGTAAATTAGAATCATGTATGTAAGGATAAAAATTTATCTTTAATGCCTCTCGTTGATTACCTTAAACTACCATGATGACAATCACCTAGATCACATTGAAAATGATTCAATATGGTTTATTTTAGAAAAAGAGTTAGAAAAACATGATACTCGTTATTACTAACTGATCAGTTAATGAACACAACTTAATCCTATGACAGGTTAGTAGCTGCTCTAGTGGCTCAAGGGCAACGTTTCCGTGATTGTGAATGATGGGTTTCTGTGAGAGTTCAGGCTGAAGTGGGTATTTTAAAAGTGGATAAACGACAAGTGAGGTATCAGTAAAACTTAATAAATATCAGTTTTTACCGCAAATGTTTAGTACCTAAATGATAGTTTTTAAACAGTATAGAGGGAATGGAATAAAGTTTTCATTTTAAGACGGTAGTTACGATAATCACATACATCAGATGACTGTTATTTTGCGTTCTTTTATGGCTGTTGATCAGTCAACTGATGTGATATCAGTTTGCATTGAATTTCAGGAGATTGAACAATGGTGCCTGATGTATAATCAATCATCAATTGTGAGTAATATGTAACAATGTTAGTTGGTCGTGGATTTTCCTCAAACGATGTTTTCTTGTCTAGATTAGGTATTAATTTGTAAGGGTTTCTATTATTCCTTTGTCAGTATTCTTGTCCAGCCTTAATTGGCATCGGCTCTTTCTTGATGTGGACCTTTGTCACATGTTTTAGAACATTTGATTTGTGATTAGCTGGAATATCCATGTTATTCACTTACGTATACCTGTTGCTCTTCTTGAGGCATAAATCGTTGATCAGGTTTGTAAAGGTTTCCCATTGAGTGCGACTTGGCTATTGCTCGTTGTCATACTTTTGAGTTTTTTTTCTTTTGATGTCCAGGTCCATTTCTGTGTAAGCTGCCACTTTACTAGCTATCTTCGACTGAATTATTGTGTATGTGATGGTAAGGCCGAGTCATCTGCAAAGTCTCAATCATCTAGTTGTGTTGAATGCTTTCGTTGTATCCCGTGCTGCTCCTGAGATGCAGTGATCTTCATAATCCAGTCAAAAACCAGAATCGCAAAAGTTGAGAGTAGACAGCCTTGTCTAAGACCAGTCTTCAGTTGGAATGGATTTGTGAGCTGTCCTACATGCATGGCTATGCAATTTAGTTCATCATAGGAGTTCCGTATTTCGATGTTAAGCTTCGTAAGTATTCCATAGTGTTGAAGGAGACGTGCGACGTTGACTGAATGTTTCATTAGGTTCAGCAATACTCCAGTTTTTCGGTACTCATTATCTCTCCTAAATGTTTATGAAGAGGATGTGAAAAATCGTTTAGTTGCTTCTACGTCTGGTTTAATTGCTTCAGCTGGTATGTTTTCTGTTCCTGCTGTTTTACCATTCTTGATTTACCTGATAGCCCCGCCGACTTTTTCCATCGTTCTTTGGGTAAAATCGGCAGAGAGGTCTGTGTGCTGCGCTTTAGTGTCAGGTGGGTTCGGAGGAGCTGGTCTGCTGAAGTACATTCAAGGGGTTCTACCCACCTGTTTCGCTGTTCATGAATCTAGATGATTGGTTTGCCTCTCTGTCCTTGACTAATCGCTCTGGTTTACTATATTTCCCTGCTAGATTCTTCATTGTAACATATAATTTTCTTGCACTTCTTTTTCTCGTAACTTTTTCTGATTCCGTTGTTAGGCCTTCCACATATTTCCGCGAGTCCACTCTAATGCTCCTCTTCATCCGCTTGTTTGTTGTGTATTCGGCTTGTGTCTGGATTTTCCCTGCTCCCGTTTGTCTGTCATTGTTTGGTGTCTTCTTGTTCTGCCATTCCTGAGTCTTGAACACAGTATCAACAAGGATGTACTCCCAATCCTGGAGCTCCTTGTGCCCCAGTGCCCCTTGTGTTTGTTCCATTGATTTCTTTACAGTTGTTTTACTTACGTTTTTATTTCGCTCTTGGTAGATTTCATAAAGCTTAGAACTTGTTGATGATAGCCATGTCAAACTTTCAGAACTTATTGGTATCTAGGACGACTGTTGCATGGAACTTTTATGGTGATGCTCAATCAACTTACTAACACATCTGTAGCTTTAGTTGTAGCGTGGGTATCACGAGGCAGTGGTACGAAATCACATCGGTTCCTTCCATTGTCATTACGTTTTTATGAACCTTTTGAGTTCTTTGTTGGTGCGGGTGTGATCGATGTAATTCTCTCTAGAGTGGTCCGGTGAAATCCATTTTGTTTTATGTATATGTTTGTAGTGGAAAATGTAACTACTTATGATCATGTTTATGAAGTACGTGAATTTGTTATTTTCTCAGCATTTTCGCTTCTTTCTTCAAGTTCATGTCATCCTATGATGTCTTCATACCCAGTGTTGTCTTTCCCGATATTGATGCTTAGATCTCAGATGAGGTTGTTTAGTTCTGGACACTTCTCTATGATGGACTATAGTTTCTCATAAAATTGATCTTTATCGTCTTTGATGATATCATTGGTGAGTGTTTAACAATCTATGATATTGATTTCAATCCCCTTTTGCTGTATTTTGAAAGATGTTTGATGATCTTCGGTCCATAAGTTATTCGTCTTACAAGCATATTTCGTGTTTATTTGAAGATCATCAATGTTACTATGTATTACTTACTTACTTACTTACGCCTGTTACTCCCAATGGAGCATTGGCCGCCGACCAGCATTCTCCAACCCACTCCGTCCTGGGCCTTCTTTTCTAGTTCCGTCCAATTCTTGTTCATTTTTCTCATGTCTATTTCCATTTCTCGGCGTAATGTGTTCTTTGGTCTTCCTCTTTTTCTTCGACCTTCAGGATTCCATGTGAGGGCTTGTCTTGTGACGCAGTTGGGTGTTTTCCTCAATGTGTTTCCTATCCACTTCCAGCGCTTCTTCCTGATTTCTTCCTCCACTGGAATCTCGTTTGTTCTCTCCCACAGTACGTTGTTGCTAATAGTGTCCGGCCAACGGATCCGAAGTATTTTGCGTAGACAATTGTTAATAAACACCTGTATTTTCTGGATGATGGTTTTCGTAGTTCTCCAGGTTTCTGCCCCATACAGTAGAACTGTCTTGACATTTGTGTTGGTTGACAGTTGCTTTGAGTTCCAGATGTTCCTCAGTTGTAAATATGCTGCTCTTGCTTTGCCGATCCGCGCCTTCACATCTGCATCAGATCCACCCTGTTCATCAGTGATGCTGCCCAAATACGTAAAGGTTTTTACATCTTCCAAATCTTCTCCGTCAATTGTGATTGGATTGGTGCATTCTGTGTTGTATCGGAGAAACCTGCTTTTCCCTTTGTGTATATTGAGATCTATTGCTGCTGAGGCTGCTGCCACACTGTTCGTCTTCTCCTGCATCTGTTGTTGCGTTTGGGATAGAAGGGCCAGATCGTCTGCGAAGTCTAGATCATCCAACTGCATCTTAGATGTCCATTGTATCCCGCGCTTCCCTTCAGACGTTGACGTCTTCAAGATCCAGTCGATCACCAGGAGAAAGAGAAAGGATGAGAGTAAGCAACCTCGCCTAACACCGGTCTTCACTTCGAACGATTTTGTCAACTGTCATCCATGCACAATTTTGCAGTTTAATCCATCATATGAGTTCTGTATGATATTGACTATCTTCTGAAGCACGCCGTAGTGTCGAAGAAGTTTCCATAGTGTTGTTCTGTCCACGCTATCGAATGCCTTTTCGTAATCAATGAAGTTGATGTAGAATGGTGAATTCCATTCAATTGATTGTTCCACAATGATCCGTAGAGTTGCGATTTGGTCTGTACACGATCTATCCTTACGGAATCCTGCCTGTTGGTCTCGAAGTTGGGCGTCTACGCAGTCCTTCATCCTGTTTAACAATACCCTGTTGAAGACTTTTCCCGGTATTGAGAGAAGAGTGATGCCCCTGTAGTTATCACACTTGCTGAGATCGCCTTTCTTCGGTATTTTGATCAGAAGTCCTTCTTTCCAGTCTGTTGGTACTTGTTCCTCATCCCAAATCTTATTGAAGAGAATGTGGAGTAGTTACTATATATAGGTGGGAAATTTTTTCCTTGATGACTAGGGCATAACAAAAATCCTGAAGATAGTGCAAGATTGGTTAAATATATTCCTAGCATCTTATTTCCGTCTTCATCTCTATGACCTTCTCTTTCTTTCACATCGTACGGATATTACACTGAAGTTTTCCAATTTTCCTTTTTTGTTTTCAGAATGAGTTTTGACCATGCAACACTCGAAGATTCTTTTTGCTTTCATAACGTGGCACAATAATTTTATTATACCGAAGATTGTTCAACAATCCTAAAGAGATTTTAACTAGATCAGTTAGTTTATTTCCTTTAAAGCTTTCTCCTCAAGTTTCATCTTTCTTTAACTTGACTTAAAATTGACAACAACCGTGTTAAGTTTGTCTTAAATTGTTCTTGGTCGCTCCCTTCCCACTATTTTGTATATTGTTTTATACTACTTATTTACATTCAGTAAGCAGTTGTATTCCCAACAATTTTCAAACTTACGTTGTAACTCAAGTCGTACTGTAATATTCTGAAATGTTCACTTATAATGTTTATTGTACTTATCATTGTATTTATCATTATAATCACTGTACCTCAATCACTATAGTGGTTATCCACTGTTTTTGTGCATTTAGACATAGCTATCAGCTGTCCTTTTTACTATCGTATGTTATAATTATTCTTCATGTTGCTGTTACAAGGCGGCCTGCTTGAGCATCTGGGCTACCTGTTCCTACCATCTAGATATTTCGACAAGTTATCTATCTTTGTTTGTTTTAATATATCATTATGTCTATTAATCGCACAATCTATTCTGCTACGTTTCTGAAAAGTGTACAACCTTTCGTTGTCAAAGTTACAAAAAGCTCAAAAAGAGAGAATATTGTTGCTGGCAATATACAACGAAAAGAATGTACATTATTCAGATATTCATTTACTGGACTGTTAACATCTAGTTGGCGATCACTCAGTATTTATCGCGAGGACCGACCAAGAAGAAAGAAACGGAAACTTGTTGAAATACTTTGTGCTGAGAATTCTATATTGTACCAATAATATAATATTTAATAAAGCTAATAATAATAATTAAAAAAAATAGAGGAAGCCTTTTTATTTCATACTTGAAGGACACCTCAAAAGTTGAGGTTTGTAACTGAATTTTGTGTACTGTTCAATAAAGAACTGCTATTGTAGACAAATCGTTGTTTTGGAAACTTCGGTTTTATGCGTATCTCAACCAGGTGACTTGGACGCTTCAATAGCTCTAACAAACCCTAAGCTACTTCAATCGACAAGTTCTAAATAAGACAAAAACAGCGGCCTAAAACTTCATGACAATCCAGAATTCAAATTACAATAGTTTGTTTTTGCTTTCTTTCTTTCTTTTCTTTGTTTATTTATATATTAGATTAAGACAATTACATAATTGTCCTAAATTGAAATTAAATTATCGTTTAATAAAATCGGCACAAATTCATTCGGAATATTTACAAAAATTACATCAATTACAAAAAATTGATCATTTAATATGTGGTCAAAATATTGCTTTAATAATTGGTCAACAAAATTGTCAAATTGCAGGTAAGTTTGTCTTGTTTTTTTTACGGTAGATTATTGGAGATTGTTGAATTTTGATAATTACCGTAAGACTGATTGAAATCATGGGTCAATTAAAGCTAGACCACCACCATGGAAAACCCGGAAGCACTGGACGGTCCTAGTATGGGACATTCCAGTCTCGGTCTCGCAAGGCCGATAGTTCCTGGGTTCGAATTTCGCGGGGTGTGGGATCGTTGGTGCTCACTGTTGAGGAGTCCCGTACTAGGACGAAACGGCCGTCAAATGCTTCCAGGTTTTCCATGGTGGTCTAGCTTCAATTGATTCATAATTTCAATCAGTGAAATTTCTAAAAATCTCCACAAAACCCCTTCTGATGATTACCATTATAGATAATCATTCAGTTAGTCAGTTAGCTACAATATAGGACTAGATACCTATATGTATCGGTTCAAGTTATTAGTACAACAAGATAAACACAGAATTTATAGATGTAGTTATTTCAATAGCTATAAACTATATTGCTAACGTAGAGTTGAAGATCTCATATGAGACTGGAGATTCGATATTAATATTGTGGATGGTTCAGCATTACGTTGACAAGTTTTATTAACTGTTCATGCACAAAATTAGTTTGCTTGTTAACCAATTTCATTCATACTAGTGGTTGCTTTTCAGTGTTTTCAAGGGTCATTGTCATCGGGACATTGTAATGCATGTCGCTATTGCTAACATTAACGAGTTTGACTATTGTGTAGGCGGAATAGTTCAACTTTGGCATGTTCATGGTTTGCATGATTAATTTACGCGATCATTGATCGGAATAATTATACATGTGATGTGAATGTGTATATGAATATTGTGAATGGTCGGCCAGGGTGCTCGGTACCTCTGAGTTTGCGCCAAAGGACTGAATTGTTCTATTCAGATTGTGGGGTTAAAGTGTATACGGTGTCTGGTTCTGCTGTGGAGCAGGATTGAGCTTTACTCATTGGGTTATAAATTTTAAGCCTGAGTGGTGTCTGGTTCTCCTATTATACGAGATTGAGCTATACTGCTTGGGTTGTTATGTGAAAGTCTGGATGGTGTCTAGTTCTCCTGAAAACCAATATAAAATTACCTTGGCCCATAAGAGTTTATTAGGAAAAGAAAGGTATAAAATAATTTTAATCTCATGGTTTAAGGGAAGACAAAGAGTGTGTACACCTACGCTATTGTGATCGATTCTAAGCCATGTCATCCAGAGTCCTCAACCATTGGCTATGATAGTCACACGAACCACAACCAAGTAGTATGTATCTACCAACATGTCTCAGACTGGAAGTTAGTGACTTCAAGCACCGATGCCATGTTTTGGTATGACCGCCCCTAACTTTCTTCCAACCGTCTCCAACACTAGCCAGCATTGCAGGTCGTAGTAGACGGTGTTCAGGTATACTTAACACAAGGCCCAATTATTGAAAAGTATTGGATAGTTGTTTAGTTCTAATGTGGGACTTTTCGAAACTCGGCATCAGTAGCCTATACGGGGATTGAGCCGAGAACCTTCAGAACCCATAACATACGCTTAACCTTTAATCAATGAATTGGCACCTGATGGCTATCATTTCTAACTTATCTCTATCTATAATATTACATAACACAACTTTATTTCTGTGTAAATAAGTTTATTTTTGAATGATATATCTTTCAAAGTTTAGTAGTAGCCTTAAACTTAACTCACAATCAAATAGAATTGTAATATAATTTGTGTAAAGCAATGTAGTACGGAAATTGAAATATGTGAAAAAAAGTTAGTCAACATAAAGCGCGTTAAACACTTCATTTTTTTTGTTACAATGAATTGTCCTATTGTAAATTTAGTAGCTGAATTCATCAGTCAATTAAAGCTAGACCATCATGGAAAACCTGAAAGCATTGAATGGACATCTCTTCCTAGTATGGGACTCTTTAGCAATGAGCACTCACGATCCCGTTCTCGAGATTCGAATCCACCACATGAGTGGGGTCATAGATATGCATTGCTGGAGAGACCCGTACTAGGACGAAATGGTTATCCATTGCTTCCAGGTTTTCCATGGTGGTCTACCTTTAATCGACACATAAATTCAACTATTAAATTACTAAAGTCTCCACGAAATCCCCTCTTTTCGGATAATTAATCTAAACTGTTTATGTTTTAGTAAAAATCATCTGCTAAGCAGCTTTAAATTAGTCAGTTTGATCAATTATGATCTTCTCAATTGTATCATAATGACTGTAAATATGATTGATATAAGAAATTTTCGATGCATCTATATGCAACTTATCATTTGTGAGTACTATAGTAGTTGACAAAATGACCTTGAAAAATAAAAAAACGTTTAGCATTGATATGTACTTTGAAGTATAGATTTAGTCATTAAACATTATTAGTTTTATATTACTTCAAATGCTTCTACTTCTACTGTTACTTACTTTACTTACTTACTTACTTACTTACTTACTTACTTACTTACTACTTACTTACTACTACTACTTACTTACTACTATTACTTACTTACTTACTTACTTACTTACTTACTACTTACTTACTTACTTACTTACTACTTATACTTACTTACTTACTTACTTACTACTTACTTACTTACTACTTACTACTTATTACTTACTTACTTACTTACTTACTTACTACTTACTTACTTACTTATTATTACTTACTTACTTACTTTACTTACTTACTTACTTACTTACTTACTTACTACTTACTACTTACTTACTTACTTACTTACTACTTACTTACTTACTTACTTATTACTACTTACTACTTACTTACTTACTTATACTTACTTACTTACTTACTTACTTACTTACTTACTTACTTACTACTACTTACTACTTACTTACTTACTTACTTACTACTTACTTACTTACTACTTACTACTACTTACTTACTTACTTACTTACTTACTTACTTACTTACTCTTACTACTTTACTTACTTACTTACTTACTACTTACTACTATTACTTACTTACTTACTACTTACTTACTTACTTATTACTTACTTACTTACTTACTACTTACTTACTTACTACTTACTTACTTTACTACTTACTTACTTACTTACTTACTTACTTACTTACTTACTTACTTACTTACTACTTATACTTACTTACTTACTTACTTACTTACTACTTACTTACTTACTACTTACTTACTTACTTACTTACTTACTACTTACTTACTTACTTACTTACTTACTTACTACTTACTTACTTACTTACTACTTACTTACTTACTTACTTACTTACTTACTTACTTACTTACTTATACTTACTTACTTACTTACTTACTACTACTTACTACTTACTTACTTACTTACTTACTTACTTACTTACTTACTTACTACTTACTTACTTACTTACTTACTTACTACTACTTACTTACTTACTTACTTACTTACTTACTTACTTACTTACTTACTTACTTACTTACTTACTTACTTACTTACTTACTTACTTACTTACTTACTTACTTACTTACTTACTTACATCTGTTACTCCTAATGGAGCATAGGCCGCAGGCCAGCATTCTCCAACCCACTCTGTCCTGGGCCTTCTTTTCTAGTTCCATCCAATTCTTGTTCATTTTTCTCATGTCTGTCTCCATTTCTCAGCGTAATGTGTTCTTTGGTCTTCCTCTTTTCCTTTGGCCTTGAGGATTCCATGTGAGGGCTTGTCTTGTGATGCAGTTGAGCGTTTTCCTCAATGTGTTTCCTATACACTTCCAGCGCTTCTTCCTGATTTCTTTCTCCGCTGGGATCTGGTTTGTTCTCTGCCACAGTAGGTTGTTGCTAATAGTGTCCGGCCAAACCTCTACTGTTACTACATTATTATTGTTTTGATGGAGTTTTGTTCACTGAGCTGAACAGTTTATTCGTGGAGCTTTCATCGTTCTACTGAATGATATCATCAGTATAAAATTCAGTTAGAAGTTTGTTATTCGTAATTTTATTCAATTCGATTCAACTATTCTCAGATTTATGAATAATGTGTTATGTCAAAGTGTTGATCTACTTCAAGATTATTTCGCTTCAAATTTTCTACTGGAATTATCATATTAAAAACTATAGAATTGAAATGTTGTTATAGATCTTAGTTTAAGAACAGAAGATTTTACTTTGATGATGTGTACTGGGAACATTTTACTAATGGTAAGTAGTTGTCTTTAGTTTATTCATCTTCGAAGATAACATTTGAAGTTTTAATTCAAAATTGAGTGAAGGAGATTCAAAGATCTTTTACATTCAGTTGATGTGGGTCAAATAGAATGAAATATGCCTTTTTTGAATTCAACTATTAGCTACTATAGAACTATGATAATTATGAGTATTTGAATTGTTATACAAACTAAGAATCCCAGAAATAACTCAAATGAATCAAGAAGTATTAGATGAACACGACCGAATGTATTGTATTTGGAATTCGAAACCGAGCATTCAACAAGTATGAACGAATCGTTATTTCATACAAACATCATATCCGCCACAGCTTAAATTGAAGTCTAAGTTTCTGTAATCGATTTATGTCTTTTCCTTATGTTAATTCTGCGCCAGTTCGACTGTGCTTTGGATGTAGTCTCTGTATGATCTAGAATGTACTTATTAGTATTACGATTAACAACTGCAATTGGAACTAACTCACCTACTTCCTGGAATTGTATACAATCATCATGTCAGTTGTGTACTGAAACCATTAATATCTAGAATTTGAACCATAGATTTTTCAGCACTATCCTTCTTCACGAAACAATGTTAGATCTTCTTATCCTCAAGTTATGAATGATTTGGCTTTATTTAAAATATATTTCTCACACTGACTATTCATTAGAAGTGACTTCATGATAAGGATAAACAGCAGTTGATATGAAATCATCCAAATTATGATCCAAATCTAGCTCATTTAAAACTCGTGCTTCACATTGAACAAGTTTCTCACAAGAAGCAAATGGATTAGAAGGATAATTAATATATCAAATGCAATCAGGATTTGATTCTTCTGAAATATTTTCTTCGAATTTATTAAGAATATCATTGCAGAGTGATGAATCAACATCTATCAAAACTGCATCAGGTTTTCGATCATGATTTGATTCACTCAACGTACTTTCCTCAGATTTATAAGAAATTTCATTAGAAATATATGAATCATTAGGAGAAATCATATCTGATATAATAAAATGAGAAATCTGGCAAGACGTTGGTTAATTAGAAACTTTTGTTTCACAATGATTCTGAGTTTCATTTAACTCTGAACTTCTATGTGACACTATACCACTTTTTGAAGTTGTGGATAAAGATAAATGATCATTGAAAATATCCAATTTAATAGGATCACAATTACAAATTTCAGGATTAGTTCGCAGCGAAATGAACCTTAGTATTACAAACTGACTGAATGTGTCCAATATCACCATATTTGAAACATTTAAATGTATGAAATACACATGAATTAAATGAATGAAACCTACTAAAGGACAAATATTGACTAAAACTTATGCTCAACTTTATGTACTGCATTGCAACTCCTCAAATGAATTATCTGCATGACCTTGAGTAAGCACGAGATTGGGATGACATAGTAATGTAGTGGAATTTTTTGATGTCTTCATAAATCATTTTACGAAATCTTCCTTAACCGCATTCGAAATTTGTTTACTCTTGGTGACATGACTCAGAATCAATCACAATGGCGTCGGTTTATACACTCTTTGTCTTCCCTTAAATTCGCTTCATATCTTTCCTTCTACCAACTAGTTCTTTCTCCCCGTACTATATCCTTATATGCAATCTTTCTTTTAGATATTACCACCAGTGAATTAATCACTTCTATGAATCATGAACCCGGTATTCATCTTGTTGTGTTAATGAGGGATGGCAACTTGGACCGATGCATATATGTTCCTGGTCCTACGTTGTAGCTGGCTGACTGACTTAACATAGTCTAGCAGTAATTCCTTGAGAATTGCATAAGGAAGCGAAAGAGGCTTTTCTGGTAAAGCCAGAGTTTTTAATAAGCTGTATGTTTCTTTTTCGATTAATGTGAGGAAATGTGCCACAATATTAACATCTTCAACATCTTCCTTGGTTATAGCCCAGATTTCAAGCCTTCCTAAGTAATCCTCAAAAGCATCAAAATCTGAATGTAGGTTCAACGATTCCATCACAGGCTTCATCGCGACGCCAAAGTTATGATTATGGGTATTTGAATTATAATATAAACAAAGAATCCCAGAAATAACTCAATTGAATCAAGAAGTATTAGATAAGCACGAACGAATGTACTGTATTTGGAATTCGAAACCAAGCATTCAACAAGTACAAAAGAAATCGTTAGTTCATACAAACACCACAACAACTAAGCCTTGAAACTCTTATGAAGAAATAGAGATTTTGATGTAATTCTCTCATGATATATATTAGGTAATAGAGACTAATCAATTGAACTCCTTAACATTTCAGATAATCTTTACAAACTAATTGTACTACATCTTGTTTAATAATCTGTTTTAGATTCTTCTATTGAAATGAACGAGAACATAGGTGAAGGAAACCGAATGTATTTTAAACTAAAATTACAAAGTTCTTTCATTTGCAAATCTTTCATCAATTATCTCAAACTTCATTATTTCTTCATTGCTATAACAATAGCTCTCTATTGTCGTTCTCTTCGATTCGATCTTTCCAATTTCTTGCTGCTAATCATTCTGGTGAGACTATAATTTATGGATGACCTTTGAACAACGCTAGACTGACCTTGAGAGTGTTCACTTAATAGCCAGGACCCAATGAGAGCGATAAACCTGTTTGTGAAATTAGAATTATGATTTACAGTTGATGGTATAGGTGAAGAATCAGATTTAGGATTTTCATCACCAAAACACTATTTAGCTAAGTGGGTGAATGGATTTCGCGTCAAAATCCAAGATCTGTTATCTTATATCTCATTGGTTCATCCACAAATTATAATATCGCTGACATTCCACTTCTGATTAGTGTTACATACTACTTATCCCGATATAAGTGACATACATTAGATAGATCTGAATTTCTTTACGGAAACATATAAGAAATATCTAACAGATCATTACTAACGTATGTTTATTTATAATATAAAAATTTTTCAGGACTTAATGCGATACGAGCCTGGTATAAACAGTCAGAAAATTATGACTATAATGAAGATAATCAAGAGAATAAAGGCAAGTTATTGTTCTTAATTGACATGGTGATGGTTAGCAATGGAATCCAGTTTAACACATGTTTCACCTTATTTAGGACTCATCAGCTGGATATCTCTTCATTTCAGAGTTGGTGTTCACTCTGGCACTCGAACTCAATAACGTTCACTTCAATCTTCATTGTGTTATCTACTTAGTTACTGAGTTCTGATATTGGTGTTGTATCTTCCCATTGTAGTTTAAGGCTGTAATCGATCAGTCTGTTGTTGGCATATATACATCCTGTACGAAATGTCTCGATATTACCTTAAGTCTCGAATAGGACGAAACGCGTTTCCTGTATTCCACTGTTAGCCACCATTTACCTTTTTTATAAATTTATAATTCTGTTTTCTCTTACTACTTATAAGTATGTGAAAATATTTCATCTATTTAATTCTATACTGTAGTTTCTAAAATGGTTGAATTTCGAGTGATTTCATAGAAACATAAAAATGAAACTTCTATTCGTTTTATCATTATTTGGTTTAATAGGAACTATATTGGCATACCTTTTTGTCTGCTGGGGAGTCCCAAAGTAGAATGAAACGGCCGTCCTGTGATTCCAGGTTTTCGAAGGTGGTCTAGCATCAATTGACTCATGATCTCAGCTATTAAAATTACTATAGTTTCCACAAAACTACTATCTGATTACAGTCGAATGTATCTGAACACACAAAATGGCAGAACAACTTAGTAAAATCTGAGAATCATACAATAAATACTTCATTTGCAAAATGTTAATCAATTGTTTCAGACTTGGCTGTAACTTCGTTTCCACACCAATCACTCTCTGTTCTCGTTCTCTTCTCTTCGTTCTTCATAACCTTCTACCACCAGACATATCGCTTCCGATTGATGATATATACTACTTATATATCTGTCGAGATCAGTACCACACACCACAATGGTATTGCAGTTTCGCATCATTAACTTGTTTTAAATTCACTTCAAAACGTCTTTTCTACACAACTGGTGATCGACTACACAAAAATTATAAACGTATCAAATATATAGATAGTTGTAAATAGAATGTTCAATAAGTATTCAGATTCAATCTGATAATACTTTAAATTACTCGTGGTTTCACTTACGGCAAATTGAGACATGAGTATTCTGTTCTTAGCAGGAGTAGGTCTAACGCACAAACCCTGATTTGATCAAAAATAATTGCATCAAGTCAATAGTTACTGTATATAGAATTACCTACTATGACTTTGAGTGTTCCTTTAAAAAAATACATTTTGTTAAGGTAGAGACCAGAACAAGCAAATCATCTTTGGGAACAATTTTACTTACTATTTATTTATTTGAACACATAAATATTGATACTAACTGGCACCGAATAAATACGCGCCACACAAGCTACTCAATATGTGTAAGGGCTTGGATACTGCCCGCATGCCGAAACCGAAGGAGATGGTTTTCTTAGGGGGCCACACCCAGAGATTTCGGTCCAAAGGTTTGATCCAAAAGGCAGTGGAACATCGTGAGGAGATGCAGTACCATGGTAGCCGGTGGCCGACGATTGGTTCATACGCCATTTGTTTCCTCAGGAGCCTGAAGTCCATGTGTACCATTGCCCTGAAATCAGGGTTTTCCAACTCCTCTATGTGGATCCTTCGTATCCACAAACCCGGTTAAAGCACCGGACATTCGATTTTCGTCCTCTCAATTTCGTAGATAACACCCTCGTCACGAGTAGGCAGTGATTAGAACTTCCCTGTTAGTGGTTTCAGGCATGTGGCCATGTGAGATCATTTGGAGAAAAAGATTTGACTCTCTCCACCCTCAGCCGTACCAGAACAGTTGAGTAGAAAAGTAGATTGTTATGACTTCGATAACAAGATAGTAGATGGATTGATTGATGCCCAGCACATAGTCGCATTAATAAATTGAATCAATATTTTATTTCAGGTTATTTTACTCAAATGATTTGGAAAAAAACGAAAAAAGTTGGATTCGGTTTTACTAAATCAGAAATAGGTAATATAATTTTCGTCGTTGGACATTATTTACCGGCTGGTAACAAAACTACAGAATTTCAAGACAATGTTCTACCAAGAAGAGAAGGTAAATTAAAAGAAATATGATATAATATTTTTCTAGCTTAATGATATGATGTTGTATTGTTTAAAGGTCATAGAGAGTTTGATTCATTATTGAGTCACTTGAACTACACACCATCATGGAAAACCTGGAAGCATTGGACGACCTTTTCATCCTATTATAGGACTCTTCAGAAGTGCGCATCCACGATCTATGCCTCACGAGATTCGATTCCACGACTTATCAGTCTCAAGCGCAAACGCTTAACCTTTAAAACACTGATCCGGTGTCTAACGGTGTAAATGTCTCACTTTAACTAATCCACGATTCATTGAATATAATCGAGAGTTTACTTATAGTGCTAAAAACAATGATTGAAGAGTCATTTGCATGACTTGTTTTATAGACATAGTACCATATTGAAATACTCACGTTATAAATTACAGTTGATTAGTATAACAAAATTTTATGATGAGACTAATCATTATCTGCTCGTAAAATAGAGTTAACTAACTCACTGTAGTTACTTATATACATTGACAACTAATAATGTTAACGACAGATAACTCACTTATACAAATACATTAAACAATGTTAATGTGTTAATAAATTAACCCTATACGGACATGTATTCATGGTCAAGTTTAGAATTTCAAATACTTGTGTTACCTGTACGAACTAGTAATTCCTCTGTAACTGATTGCCCGCTGATTACAAATTCCGAATACAATACGTTCATTTGTACTCATCTAGTTATACCTGCCTTAAATTGCACTACTTCGGGAATTCATAGTTAGTACAATAATTGAAATACATCTAATTATCATATTGACATCGAAATGGAGCCCGTGATTGGACAGCTTGATCCACATTCAAATTCTGAAGCTTTCAAAGATTACACGTAAAAGGTTTAAAAATCTAGAATATGACCAGGAATCATGTTAGGGATTACAAACTTCTAGTTAATTTCCTCACATTTATCGGAAAGGATGCTTACAGTTTATCAGAAACTTTGGCATTCCCAGATAAGTCTATTCCACTTCCTTATGTAACTCTCAAATAACTACTACTAAATCATATAAAGTGTACTAATGTCGAATGTTATGAAGGCGAAAATTTTCATAATATGATTCGCCGAGACTTTCAGAATTTTACTACATTACTTAGCTATCCTAATCCAATGCATGCTCAAGATCATGCAGATAATAATTCATTGAAGAGTTGTAATTCAGATTACAAAAGTGAGCACATGTTTGGTAATTGCTCATCCTGTGGTAAATTTCATTCGCGTAATTTGACATGCCATATACTTTAAGTGTAGTAAAATGAACACAACGAATTGGTCTGTGGATCTACTGTTAGTTTTGCCACTAGTGATGACAAACCACGCAGTTTCCATTTTATTAAGCTGGGTATTTCTATTGATCATTTATCTTCATCGACGATTTTTTAAGCTAATGTCTATATTCAGAAGTAGTTATATGTCTCCTTTGATTCATTCAATGACTTTACTGTTGACTTAGACAATATAGAGTCATGTCTTAGTCCAGAATTAAATGAAGCTCTGTTAGCCTTGCATAAATTTGAAACTAAATTCCAACCAAAACAAGCTTGTGTTTCATGGAATGTTTGCCAAGAAAGGTGAAGGGAATCCTATTCAGAATATAGTTGGACTAACACAATGAATACAAGTGCATCAAATGGAAGTCAGAATAATTGTGAGATAAAAGCTTCTAGTCAATCAACCTCTTTAAAACAATTAGTCCCTTTTATAAATTTCCATAGGACAATGAGATCAGATCAACTCCGTTTTCTCATTAATCTATCGAGATCAACGGCTTGTTGGATTTCTAATGTGATTTAACCAGATATCGTTTGCCCTGATGATTCACATATTTATGGTGAAATGTCCTATAAAAATGAGAAAAATATATTGAATGGATCAAATAATGATCGGAAATCCGATGTAATTTTAATAGATACCGATTTGTTCAATGATCCATTATTCTCTAATGTTGTAATAATAAATATTTCAGAAGAATTAAATCCTAATGATTTCAGATTAGTATCAGAAGGAGTTTTGTGGAGATTGTAGTAGTTTCAACAGTTGAGATCATGAGTCACTTGAAGCTAGATCCTTGGTTCGAATCCTGCGAGGCGGGGTCTTGGATGCCCACTGCTGAGGAGTCCCACAATAGGACGAAACAGCCGTTCAGTGCTTCCACGTTTTCCATGGTCATCTAGCTTCAATTGACTCATGATCTTAACTATTAAGATTTCATATTAAATGTTATTTGTCCTCCTAACGTATCTGTTTCTGATGGAAAATTTGGTCTATGTGAAGTACAGATTCTAAGTGAATTTAAACCAAATTACAGTTCACATGATTTCATATCAAATATTATTTATTCTCACCATGAAGTTACTTTCAATGGATCCTCTAGTCCATGTGAAAAATATACTTTAAATAAAGCCATATTATTTGTAGCTTGAGGAAATGAAGATCTAACATTATTTCATGAAAGAGAATTATGTTCAAAAATATATGGTTTGAATTCTAGATATCAATCATCTAAGTACACACTACCGACATGAAAATAAATACAATTTCAGGGCCCAGATGGATCTGTTCCAGTTTCAGTTGTTAATTCTAATACTAATGAATACATTTTAGATCATACAGTGATCACATTTAATTCACAGTCGATCAGACACATGATGAACCTTAGGAAATAAAGTACATAACATTTTCAAACCCTAATCTTTCCGATTACTGCTTATACTCTTACTACCTCTACCACTATGGAATTTGAATCGACAACTGCATCTCTTTGCTAATGTGGTATGGCAACTCGAACTGATATACGTATGTACGAAGTTCTACGTTGTTACTGACTAACTGACTGACAATCGATTTCAGAAATTTGGATCCCTATATAATCCATGACGGCTGTGGTCTTTGTACGAACTAATTGATGCATCTCTAATTACGAATTCCAAATATCAGTCGTTCATTTGTGCTCATCTAGTTCTACTTGCCTTATATTGCACTATTTTGAGAATTATTAATATATTAATTCCATCACCTTGCATCGTCATACTATGACTGTCTATTCGGTTTCTAAAACCTCTTTAGGCATGAAAGCAATAGAGCTCAAAACTCTCAATTTTGTATACACGTTATTAAATACCGTTTAATTCCATTAATATAAAGTTTGATCCATACTCGGTGATAACTAGTTATATTGATGAACTTTATAAACTGTCAATAAAATAGTATTTACATTTCATTTAATTTGTGTGCATTTTCCTTGTTTATGAGTAAAGGTTAAACCTTCCATTGTGTTAAGTTCATTCGTGTAGGAGCTCACTTACTGATTAGCGTTTTTTTTAGCGAGTTAGTTATCTACAGGATGGGGTTGCTAACCTCATGCCTGATCCTCCTCCTTTAACCGCGCTTGGGACCGGCAATAACTCTAGGAGAGCTACAGGTGGAGTGTAGGAGCAAAACAGTGTAAAACGGTTCTATATGTTGAAGTGATTTCAACTACAAATTGATGACATTTATATAATTCTTCGGACTTATTTACTTACTAGATTCTGTCAAACTACTTGTAACCTGGAAAACAAAATAAGTCGTCAAAATTAAGAATAATCCAGTTCCATCCTGTTTGTCATTATTATTATTATCTATTTGAATACACAAATATTGGTACAAGAGGGCACCAAATATATATGCGACACACCATATTTGTGTGTGTGTGGGCCGTGATACTGCCCGGGGTTCCCAGACGGAAGCAGGTACGTTTCTTAGGGGGCCACACCCTGAGCCTTTGACCCAAAGGTCTGATCGACAAGGCAGTGGAGCATCATGAGGAGATGCAGTCCCATGGTAGCTAGTGACCAATGATTTGTTCATAGGCCATTCGTTCCTTCCGTATCCTGGAGCCCATGTGCACCATTGGTTTTGGATCCGGTTAAAGTGCCGGACATTCGCTTTTCATCCTCTCATTTTCGTAAACAACACCCCCACCACGAGAAGGCAGTGAGTAGGACTTCCCTGGCAGAGGTTGTAAACGCGTGGCCGTGTGGGAGCGTTTCGAGGGGGAGAGTGGACTCTCCCCACCCCACTCTCAGCTATACCAGGGCATTTGGGGGCCTGTTTGTCATGTAAAATAATAAGTACGTTTTCTTGACTGATGTTAACTAGTAACATACATTTTAAGGTCTTAACTTTCATAATTTTTACCTATAACATGAATTAAATGTTTCATTTCAGGAGCTCATGATATGAAGACCGATGACGATTGTTCAAATGATCCCAACGATAATCTCAAGGAACCTCGACATTCTTGTTCAAAAGGACGGTGTGTTATAATTTAATACATGTAAAAATATTTACGTCTAGAACTTCCAACATAAGACTGAATGAATATTCAAAATATTTTTAGAGATGCACCATTCTATTCTCGTTCACTATTCATGTATGGTTGACAATGTTTTTTTCAAGTTTATAACAATAAATAATTGAAGTCTGTTTAAAAGGTGCTTACAATATGATATTTATCAGAAGGGGTTTGTGGAGATTTTAGAAATTTCACAGATTGAAATCATGGGTCAATTGAAGCTAGACCACCATGGAAAACCTGGAAGCACTGGACGGTCGTTTCGTCCTAGTATGGGACTCATCAGCAGTGCTCACCCACAATCCCGCACACCGCAGTCATTTTTATTGGTCATTTTTATTTGCAGGGAGGTCATTGATTAATGTGAAATAGTCTTTTGAAACATAGTTGAGAAAGCTGAACATGGAGTTTGACGTTCTACGAATAACAGAGGGATTTTAAGGTAAACTAAAAGGTGATCTTACCACATAAGACTGCGTTTTTAGTTCAAACATACTGATCAAGCTGGAGAGACCTGTATTTGAGTCCGGGTATCAACAGCGCTAAAATCGCAATGAGGGGTTAACGACAATACTAGGTTAAGATTTCCTTAAACTCTGCAAAGTTGAGTGAAGCAGAATTTCAAAGATTTACATTTCTTGAATCTACGACATTGATTTCCATTGTAAGTAATCAATGCTTTTAGGTTGATAGACCTACTATACTATAAATGACTGGTCATGATGTTACTGTTTAAAATATATTATCTACATCACGGCCACATCACTTTTCTCCCTGAACTACCCTGCCTGATAGTCAGAGCCTCTGTGACCTTTTTATATACTGATATTGATGTTGTACATACTTCCAATCACAACTCAGACGACAAAATACAATACCATCTAGTGAACTTACGGATTCCTATCTGATTTGACCACTGATCGTTTCATAATTATGTGAGCACGAATTGGATAGTCATGAGAATCAATATTTCTTGTAGAAAAATTAAAACATTTTTATATTAGTTAGGAAAAGATGATAATAAATATCATTCCAAGAACTTTTAGTGGGCCGTAATTTGATTTTGTCCTCATTTAGATCGGACGATGTTCGTTGAAGGCCTCACCAATTTAGTGGCCCATGGATCTGACTTCAAGATCGTACGAATGATTGTTATCGCCTATTCTCGTATATAATCGCCGACTTAAAGAGAGTTAGTCAATAACGGAATAACGAGAATTGACTTGTGAATACATATATTTTGTATATGAAGCGTATGAAACAGAGCAAAGCAAAATGACACGCAAGGAAGATGGCTGGGAAGCCAACTCCTGTTTTGATGCAGCGAGACTCAATATTTATAGTCAGACAAAATGAAGCTACAGATATGTGATTAATGGGATAAGAAGGGTACACATATATACGCTCATATAAAAACAGTCAAGGCTCAAGTAGAATGAATAGAATGGGATGCCCGAAAGCTAGAATAAGGTATATGGGCTTAATATAATAACTGACACTATAAACTCCCAGTGCAATTTAAGGCAGGTAGAACTAAATAAGCACAAATGAACAAGTTATATTTTAGATTCGTAATCAACAGGCCATCAAGTACAAAAGAATCATTAGTTCGTAAAAAGACCACAACTATCATAGGTTGAATGGAAATCCAAATTTCTGGAATCGATTATACTTCTTTCCCTCAGGTTCATCATGTGCCTGACCGAATGTGTATTAGATGTAGACACTGTGTGATCTAGAATGTACTCATTTGTATTACAATTAACAATCGAAACTGGAATCGAATCACCTGGGTCCTTGTAAAGTTTTCGGTTTTAGTGACTGGTTTGCACATGGGCCATAGTTGTATCAACCATTTTCAGCAGACCTCTCTTAGATTATGGGAAACCAATTCCTGAACAAAGATTAATTGTGTTCGAGCGATTAAATCACCGTTGGTTTACCTTATGGTATGTAAATTACGCAACGAAATGATTTAACTATTCTCCAATCAAATGCATTTAATTTTAAACCGGTAAAAACACTGCCGCACGGTTAAAAAGTTTTAAAATTCATGCATGGGAAAGGATGAGAGGGGGACATACAATTTCCGCAAAACAGTTTTGACTCTAACGTTTGAACAGCTCAACCGATTTCGCTCATTCACTTTCTGTGGGATTTCTCTTGCAAATATCTGTTTGGCAACTTACAACACATTGTGAGATGTATCAGTCAAATGCAAGATGTATCAATGAAATCGGTTAACCAGCAAACCAACTTTACGTATGAGCAGTGAGCAAACTTGCCAAAGTAATCATGCTGAACTATTCTCAGTATCAATTGTGAACCTCCAGTCTCATATGAGACCTTCAGCTCCACATAGCAATTTAGCTTATACAGTATAGCACACACATGTAGGGTAGTAAACGAAACAGCACAGCCTGAAGCGTTAGGGCTTGGGGAAGGCTCAAAACCCATTGTCTGCAGTCGGAATACCATCACAACACCACGAATATCATTTTCATTCACAGTTTGTAATGAGAATAGTTGACCATGTTTCTCGCAATTGCGGTGAATATGATATTTGTGGTTTTGTGATATTATTTCGACAGCAGGCAATGGTTTTCAAGCTTTATTTATGACCTATTTCTTCAGACGATTATTTTTCCTTGACTGTGCTTTCTAGCTATTTTTGGTAATATTTGGTGGTTTTTCTGTTTGAATATTATTTGGGTTTTTGTGGAGATTGTAGTAATTTCAATGGTTAAGATCATGAGTCAGTTGAAGCTAGACCACCATGGAAAACCTGGAAGCACTGGACAGCCGTTTCGTCCTATTGTGGGACTCCTCAGCAGTGCGCATCCACGACCTCGCCCTCTGCGAGATCCGAACCCAGGACCTACTGGTTTCGTGCCCGAGCACTTAACCACTAGACCACTGAGCCGGCATCCAACGGTGTTAATGCCTAACTTCAACTAATCCACGAAATTGAGCGACACATTCACCATTGTCTTCAGTGAGTTACTACCTCACAACAGACCTGGTTGAACTCCACTGGTCACTACTTCTCACTAGAACTCGAGGATATACCTCGTGAAGCCAGTCACTAGTGAGCATATTTTTGATTAATATCAGATGGGTTTTTGTGGAGATTGTAGTAATTTCAATGGTTAAGATCATGAGTCAGTTGAAGCCAGACCGCAATCACCGGCTCAGTGGTCTAGTGGTTAAGTGCTCGGGCGCGAAACCAGTAGGTCCTGGGTTCGGATCTCGCAGGGGGCGAGGTCGTGGATGCGCATTGCTGAGGAGTCCCACAATAGGACGAAACCGCCGTCCAGTGCTTCCAGGTTTTCCATGGTGGTCTAGCTTCAACTGACTCATGATCTTAACCATTGAATATCATTTGTTGTTTTTTGCTGTTTACATTCTTATTTTTTGATTGTGTTTTTCGTGCTTGTGTGATTTATGCATTTGTCACCATCTGTGTTTACCGTAAATTTTTTCGATGATATTTCACAATGAATCCTCACTCCAACGTCTTATGCTGCTCGACTACACAAAATCTTATCGACACAGCACAACATTAATTCATTATTATCAACATTCCATTTCACACTGTGTTATTCAGGACAATACTAGACTCACACCAATGCACAATCCACACACTCACACGCACATGCACATTCACTATCAACATCAAATCAGACCAGTCGGTCAAAACACCTGATGGAAAACATCTCATTCTCACTCATACACTGTCTCACTTATTCAATCATTCACTCACCACTCGTCAATCATCACCATGCGTGGCGGTATTTTGATACAGTGAGACGATGTTGTTTATGAGTGGGACATAGAAAAGCACTGTGTCTCACTGGTCGATGTTATGAGTTTGACGAAGTGTTGAAGTGACGCGGAACGGAGTGAGAATGTAAGGAGTGTGACGTGGTGGTTGTGGTGTTGTTGTCAATGTTATTGCTGTTGATGATGATGATGACTGTCTGTTATTGTGTGATAGAGGTGGTGTGTATGCGATGTTCGTGATTATCTGTGACGTGCTAGAGTCATGAGTATGATTGACAATAGGTATGTTGTGGGTGGGACTCGGTGCGACGCCCGTTTCAGACTGATGTCTAAATTCAACGCCTTAGAATACGTGACCATACGAAAAATGATTGAAACTGCACAACAATAAATCATCAATTTCAACATTTCATTCCACTCTCATAAAAACACTGTGCTATTCGGAAAAACACTAAACACTACACAGAACAAACAATTCAACACAATATTTGAAATAATGCTCTTCTGTTCCTGTTTATTTCCACTACATTTATATTAGATTCTGCTTGCTGTGCATGTACGTAAAGGCTATAGTCTCATCCAGAGCGTTGTCATCATTTCTAATTCGCATGATATTTACCGCCTTTCACCTCAAAATCTAAAGGAGATTCACCTCTGTAATTCCATCTATCCAGTCCTCCTGTGACATTGTAGATTCAGTTCCATATTGAGAACAACCAGTTGTTGATCCACAAAGAAACAAGCACCTACATTCAAACAACCTGCTGAACTATTTATTCATGCGAATGTCATAGATCTAGTTCAATGTGTTTGTTCGGTAATATGGATACATCTGTTGCCAATACTTGGAAAACACATACATCTGCAAATTGCACACCAGTTTTGTGCACTTGTCGCAAAACATATTGCCTCATGACATATCATCATGCCTGATGTTATCCATTTTGAACACTTCAGATTGTAGTTTGTCTTCTCTTGTCCACACTGTGTCTAATCAGCTTCACTCATACCAGACAATGCCTGATTGTATGTTCTCATCTACACTGTTAACCAAATATCATTCGCAGTCTCATAACTTGACCGGAAATTCCATTCACTTTTAATAACTGCTTCTGTGGTTGTTAGAACGAATATCGCTATCGTGATATCATAAGAGTTCCGTGTTTCATCATGAACTGTCATAGTCATTCAATA